TTAAGATCTTTTTTTCTTAGCCTAGGTCAATCGGCGGCGCATTAAAAGGGGCCAATTTTTTGCGATACTACCCAAAGAAAAAGCCAGTTACAGCCTCTATGGAACGCCTGGCTAGATCATGATCTCATCTCAGCTCTTTGCTTACACCCAGATAAAACTTAGGGAATATCATAATTTAAATATCAAAACAGAAGGGAACAGACCTCTCACATTTTGTTTGAATCACCTTATTTAAGTAGAAGAGGATGGTTTTTAGTACTCGTGTGCTTTTTTATTTAACCGGGTTGATATCGTCTGACACAAGTAGGAATTTGAAACTTATCCAACCACCTTTTTTCCTCGCTAAGCGCAAATCAAACGTCTCGAATGCTTTATTATCACGAGATAGGCTTCGCTTTTATGTTAAAGCATTCGGCTATGGAAATCTCTCCAGTTCTATCTTTTTTGTACCCATTTAAGGGTACATAATTCATGAAGAAATGGCAAAAAATAAGAATGCATACTTTTTGCAAGAGAAGTGTATATTAAAGTAAGGAATATTTCTGTTATCAACGAACCAACACGATTTTGACTGGTGTCACATTTGAATTCAAGAATCATTGCATGCAAATTTGAAATACAGTCAACTTTTGTAACTTAATCAACAGCCTTGCGCATGCTCAGAAAATGGAGCAAGTTCCACTCCCGAAATGCATCCCGGGCGCACTGAGTCTCCGTGCTCGAAATTTACCATGGGTTTGGAAAAACAACTGAGATAAATTAAGAAGAAATCCTTAATTGGATATTTTTATGTGAAGATAAAAAGGTCTTTCCGCGAGATCTTCTGCAGACAGAAAAATCTCATTAAAGAGAAAAGAAGTTTTCGGTAATGTCACAGCACCGTATCGTTTCATAATTTTTGGTTGCTTCTGTTTGATCGATAATTTTTCCTTATTTCCTTCTTGGGATTCTTAGCTTGTAAAGGTAGTGGAAAACATTGTTTGCTTTAGTTTACGTTCTTTTTTCAGGTTATTTTCAAAAGCAAACCGGTCTTTAGATGTCTCATTACAATCACAACCCAAGAAATTGCAGAAGAAGAAGGCCGAATATATTCAAGTTTCGACGATGTTCGAACGTGACCTCCCAGATACTATATGCTACAACTGAGCAACGAAACCATATTTTTGGGGCTCAAAGGACCTAACTGATTGAAATCCTTCGAAGCCCAAGCAATTTTTCTTGAAATACACTTCACCCGTGAGGAATATTTCGACTTATCTTCTTTTGAAAAGGGAACAGTTGTATTTTTTGTTTCAGTTTCAATTTTCAGAGACAAAGTTGAACGTAGTTTCTTTGTTATTGATTGAATACGGTGTTTTAAATTGTTATCATGTTTTATAAACATGTTCCTTGCCGCCTACATTAACCAGTTTTTTTCTTCCCGTAATGAAAATGATCAACATGGCTTTCAAGTTTGAGAATGGTACAGTTCCCTTGAAGTTTTTTCTTGTACAAAATGTGCAACAGCCCAAAAAATATAGAGCTTTGAACCATGGACTGAGAAGCACTGGCCCAACACGACCCTTTGGACGAGACATATGCACACACATAGACAAGAAGGCAAATAATTTGGATGTCAATGTTTGCATTAATGATACCTTACTATAAGAGTAGCAAACGGTGCGTTGTAATTTGAGGCAATGTATGTTTTTAAATGACGCATGATTTTTATTAGTATTTATTTATCTTATCTTTGTATTAGTTTCACATCCTACTGTGTCCACACGCCGCTGGAAATTAAACCAATTGATTCTTCCCTTAGCTCCATTTCGTATTTGCATACATTTGAGGGAGGAGCTTTCGCTAGGAATCAAGTTGACCTAAAGGTAATTTATGCTTGTTTATCTCTAAAAATGGAAAACGAAAGGTTTCTCCAACTTTCCCAGGGTGATAAGGTGTACAGAATAAACATAAAAACTGAATATTTTAACATAATTGGTTCAGTTAAGTCCCTAAGCTTTATACCGCCTCGCAAGGTGAGCGGCTAAAGTCTCTGATGACGCGCGCTATCCAGTTTAGTACTAATTAATTCTTATAAACGAAAACTCGCAGTGACTTCCGCAGTAGTGGTGTTAGTCCATGCAAAAACAAACGCAGAAGTTTTGAAGGTAGGCGATAAATTTGCTCGCGACTTATTTTTTAGACGTCTCTTTCATCAACGACTCTGTGCTGTATCGGGTTTTTTTATTTCGTCATACAAATTTTGCTTTGTTTAGAGATACGTCAGGGTTTTCGTTTTTAAATTCGTCATTGCCGAACGAAGCTTCAAGATCCAATAATTCAGATGTTTTTCGCTAATTTTCACAATAGCTCGTAACTGATGCCAATGACCCTTCGTTTTCAATCGTGCATAGCTGTGAATTTTTTTTTCTGGATATTTCACGAGTAAAGGAAGAAATTAAGCTCTTTCCGACAGCCTTGTGCAACAAACTTCCGAAACACTGATTAATTTGACAGTATTCTCCTATTGCTTTTAATTTATTTAGTAGAATTTTTGATTTTTTCCGAAAGCCTTTTGCAAAAAAGCTCCGAAACACCGGCTAATTTCACTGTTTTCTCTTATTGCTTTTAATTTAACAAGTAGAATTCTTAATTTTACAACTTTGATTTTTCCAGATATCCTTACCCAAAGTGGTATTATTTCAACTTTGAAATACACTTCTTTTCCCGAAAGTTATATCAAAATTCCCTTAATTCCTCAGATATAATTTGTATTTATTTGTCCCAAAAATAGCTATAAAACTAGTTGAAACATATATTTTTCTTTTGTATAACTTTTTCATTTCCTAACTTACTTGACATAATATAGCAGTGATACGAAAATTTTATAAAATTTAGATGATAAAGAAAAAATATCAAACCAAAGTCAAGTGAAAACAATATGATTAAAAAAAAAGATGTACTATTTCATTTTTTGTATGACTTAAAAAGACGTATTTTAGCATGAAAATATTTTTGTGAAAAATACTTCCCGCATTCAATCAGTGAACTTGAATTTTAATGGAGAATATTAATTTCCAACGGGAAATGATTAAAAGTAGCCAGGAATCCAATTATGGCATTTTAAGAGATTGGATACGATAAAACTGAGTGAATTTGTTTTAGCTTTTAGCCAAGATAACTGCTTTTTATCCGCTCAAGATCTTTTTTCTTAAAAAATTGATGTTATCCTTTGTTTTTTTGACAAAATGAGGATTCATGAAATACCTCATCAGCATTAAAGAACGAGCGCCACATTTTTCTTTAGCGAAGTCCGTAGCCTAACAACAAATAAATACAAATGTAAAATACTTTATTTTCATTTATAGTTTAAATAGACAAAAAAAGGACTTTCTTTTTTTTCCTTCAGATATAGATAAATATGTAAATGTGGAAACTGATATCCCTGGAAGCACTGTGCGGTAGTATATATTATAAAAATTGGCCTCCGCAAAGAGTTTCGAAACTGACGTTTCGAGCGTTGACCTTTCGTGATATATACCTACGTTCTCCTTCCCTTATGGCTGAGGAGCGATCGCTTTTAATATTTCGCCAGGAACAGTTAGTTACTCGAATAAGGACGTAACTAAGCGGGGGGGAGGGTTCACGTAGAGATGTGGCGCCCCTCCACGTGCCAACAAGACGCTATTGCAAGCTTCGTTCTCCACTCCTCTCTCCATAACCCCCCTCTGGAAAAACCTTCTCACGCCTCTGAGAAATGTAGTAATTGAACAGACTTAGTTTTTCTGTCACTGAAGAGCAGAATATTCAAATGTCGGTTAATTTCCTTATTTCTGAATTTACTTTTCACTCATCTTTCAACAAAGCACTAAGTCGAAGATGACCCATGGTCGGAAATTGTAAATATGATCATTGCGTCGTGTTCCGCTCATCTCATTTAGGTATTTCATATCTTTTATCTTTCTATTTTTTTTTTATTTATCCAAATTGTAAAACAAGACAAGTATATGAAGCAAAATGGTAATTCTCTTTCAGCTTTTTGATCAAAAATTTACTGTCTTGTTTTTCTTCGTTCGCCAAGAGGGATATAATGCAAAATTCGGTTGAAATGTTTTTGTCGCAAATTGTCAAAATCCATTTTCGCTTTAACTAAAGCTTTTTCACTTTGTTGGCAGCAGGTGATATGGTCATTCACACATAAAAAATTTTTGTCACTGATCATCCCAGCTGTTATGTCTGCGGTTTTTCTCTTCCGTCAAAATTTACAAATCAAACAAACCCTTAATCAGGATTCGACGGGTGGGATGATAGAGAACGTATTTAGGAAAAAAAATGCTAAACGTGTTGACTTATTGATGTTTGAAATGTTTTGTTGCATCCATACTCCGACAGACAGTAAACTGATTTGCCCAACATGATTTACAACAAAAAAAATTTAGACCAGATAGAAAATGGCCGTAACCTCTAAGAAGGAAATCTTGCAACTAGAATGTCGCCTGCCTTCGATTCCGTGAGGTTTTTTAGTATACTTAAAATGCTCTTTTAGCATTTTAGGTTTTGTTTTCAATTTAAACCGACGCTCTGTTGATACCTTTCATAAACAACGCAATTAATGTCTTTTTGTTCGACTCCAGGAGTAATTTGGCTGATTGTTAACACTGCTTCCCTTGTAATCGAAAATAGGTTATGGAAGCCCACGTATGGAGCAAAAAAAAAAATTCATGTTACCCGGCGTTTGTGCATATTTGTTTGGGAAAATTGCGTTTGAGTTTAATTGATTTCCTGTGTCATGAAATCGTGACGACTTGTCAATTATAACAAGATATGAGTTTTAAATGAAAATTGATGAACAAAAATTTTAGGTATCAAAATTCAGGGAGCGAATTTTATATTACGAAAAAGGACCGCGAAAGAAATTGTCTTGAAACCCTGAAATTTAATCACGTAATGTAGCTTTTTATTCATATCAAGCGACTCTTAAATCAATCTGTACTTGTTTCGAGACCTATTTATATTTTATACGTTTAACAGCTCAATTTCTAATTATAAGTACCAAGCTTTTAATACAAACATCTATAAATATTTTATTACAATAGTTGGTACATAATACGAAGTTTTTAACTCAAGTACAGGTAGGGCTTTGTTACCTGTAGAGGGATAAATGTCGCACTGCACGGAACAAGCTGGTTTGAAACCCACAAGATAAACTGTTGGCTTATAGTATTGACCGGGTAAACTTTAAGTTTCATGTGTTGACCAAATTAGCATTGCGTTCCACGACTTCGATGTAAGGTAATTATGACAAACGTTGATGATACTCCACTGAGTATATGCCAAGCTCTCGTCGTAAACATCTTCTATAATGCATGGGCAAATTGGTCTCGCTTTTTCTAACCAGAGTGAATTTTTATGCGCTCCTTTAAATGCATGTATGTGTTTGAAAGTAATTGAAAAACTCACCGATGAGTCAAAGGGTACGATGAGGTCAAACCCTGGACACGAAACTTTGCGACGAGGATTTGATCACATCTTTCAGACAACTGTTTAGAAGAGTATTGCATTAACTTTTCGGCACACCTTAGTTAAATCTACCTTCGTGTAAAGAAGGTACTTGCGCTTTAAAAAGAGGTTTCGTAGCTTTAAAAGGTATAAAAAATTTTCCTCTCTGTTGGATAAAAGCAATTTTATTTCCTAAAACTGCCCAGGATAATGCACACTGGCTAAGATGCTGCACCACTTCATTGCACTGTTTGCTGTGGCCATACTTTCTTCACGTGAAGGGATTTCCACTCCTCATCCTGGTAACGTTGTTTCCATTCTTTTTATTGTACCTTAAAGTTGACTCAACATTTCGACAGAGGTAGAAGCCAGCTGCTTTTCACAGGACACGTCACACGATCTAAACTACTTAAGCTTGCCAAAATTGCTGGAACCGGGGAATATTATAGTAGTGCTTGAACATTATTAACGAAAGCAGGCTGGTATTTCTTCTCAGTAGAGAAAATGCCGTAATTTGCTTGAAGGTGCTGCGCCAGTCAAATAAAAATTCATTTTCCTTGGAAATAAAAACTATGGTTTTAGAGAAACGGTTAGATATGGTTTCGAAATTTTTAAGGAAAAAGAAATTATTTTAAATTGGTAATAGAGAACTAAGACGCTTGATCGTTTTTGATCCTACATACTAGCAGTATAAAAGACATTTGTCGGACATGAATCTAAAATAGTCTAGCTTGCCATAGAGTATCCTTAAGCTTAGTTAAAAAAACATGGAAAGGGGTGCGTTTCGTCGTAGGGGAATCAGAAATGCCTTTTTTTCCCTTTACTATTCCTCGGTTTGGTCACTAACATCCAAGCTTTCATGAGACGAGAACCAAAAAGATCGATGTTAAGTTGTTTTTTTTTCTGTCCTGTTCTATAGCAATCGAGTGCACAAACCACACAGTTTTAAACGAGGCAAGCAGATCTAGGTTTTTTACCAACTACGTTCACGCCAGCGATACCTTACTAACGGGCTGGTTTACATACAATGGCTCAGCCGGTACGCGCATGGCTACAACCTGCGTTCCCGCTGATCACTGCGGTACGCTCGTTCCTGGATGGCTGGCGGGTAACCATCCAAGTGTAGACGAAGGTTTAGTAGTACGATCAGTATGTCTCTCCAAGTCGCAAGTTTGTTGCATGACGTCTGTGAGTGTACTTGTGAGGAACTGCAGCGGCTTCTTTGTTTACAAACTGGACGTGAATGCAAGTTTAAGCTTTACTTTTCGAGTGTGTGGAGCTGGTATTGAAGGTAATGTAATATTCTCCGACCTCCATTTGTAGAGGAAAACCCTCAGAGATTGCAATGTGAATGCCTCCTCCATCGTCTACCATCCACTTGCAAATCATAACCACGATATTACAGACACTTAGTTTTTGCCTTTTTATTCAAATAAAAGTTATTGGCAGTTGTTTGAGATGTAAAATGAATTCTTTATCGAGAGGAGGAGGTTTCATCCATTTTGCGTCCCTCAGGGGAGGCATGGGTGTTAGTTAACTTGATATCCCACCTTTTAACCTAAAGGTTTGCTGATACTGACTTCAATTCATAAAATCTGGACAAATTTTCTCAGAGAGCCTTTTTTTTATTTCAGGATCATTGCCGCCTAAGCAAGTAGCAATCAAGAATAAGTTAGGTAATATAAGAAAGGCAGTTTAAAGTCTTTAAAAATGATAATGAATTGATTGATTGTTTAACTCTGAGTGAAAGTTCAACTTGAACACAGACACTAGTATTCTATTTGATAACTGCAGCCTTTTCCACGCCTCCTCTTCAACAAAATTTTGTAAGACAGATTAGAAGCATTCCCAAATTCTACGCCATCGTTACAAACTTTAATGCTTTCATGGATGTCAAGATGAACATGCGATATGGAAAAGAGTTACCCTTTTAAAGAGTTATCCGCCTTAACTTTATAAAGTTATTTCAGATCTAATCTCATTTACGATGATTGTTTACTTCGTTAAACCAAGCAACACGAGGTTCAGTCTTTAAACAGAAACGTGTTAGCAAAAATTGTGCCGAAACTTTTGAAGCTTGGTCATTGTAATTAAAAGAATGATCGACTCTACGTTTCAACTAAACAAAAGAATTTCATATCGTCCATTTTTATTGTTTGTTTTGATAACTGTTTGTTTGTTTGTTTGTTTCATTGTTATTAGGCGATGAATGCACCGACTACAACACACTCAGCGCACGTGATAGAGCCGCGGACTATTTCAGTTACAACACTTTGAAGTGTGACGCCTACCTACCCAGTGGCTGGTACAGGCTGACTGGCCGCGCAGGGACTGTTATGCCGACACATTGCGTGCCCAGAATGCATTGTGGTACTCTGTCACCTGGTTGGTTGAATGGCAAACATCCAACTGTGGAGGAGGGTGTGGTGCAGCGTATGGTTTGTTTTACAAAGGATACCAATTGTTGTCACTGGTATAGTTTGGTGTTAGTGAAAAACTGCAGTGGTTTTATGGTGTACAAATTTGGACCCTTTCCTACAGGTGTAGACTCCTGCAGCTTGCGATACTGTGGAGGTGGAGAAGCCGGAGAAGCTGGTAAGTGACACATAAACCAGTTATGAACTGATCATTATTTATCGGCCGGGGGGGGAAGAAGTACGATGAATTTGGTTGTGATCCCCCCTAAGGCTCTATAATATTGTTATGGTCCCCCTTTCATTGGAAGTTGATTGGCAATCAATTTTCTTTGGTACCTCCCTCTTTATAATATATAGGGGTCGACTGATTTCCCTTTAACTCCCCCTAAACGCCATGTGTTCCTGCCGCCCCCCCCCCCCCCAAATCCTCCTTATCTCGTCCTCCCAGATGATAAATCATGGATTTTTCCTGTAAAAGAAACAACCGAATAGATAAAACTGCGGAAACCAGATTCCACATGGCTGAATACTTCCATTTCATCGTTGTTAGAAGACTTTGATCTCAATAAAATGAGGTAGTTTTAGTTTTGAAGCCATTAGTAGCTACAAATGGCATAACCGTGGGTAGTGCGCAAAGAAAGGCCGACCCAAGACCCGAGACTGCCTACATCGAGAATTTTATGCGTGGTAATCTACTTGGTCGCCCATTTTTCTGAATTTCTATTAGGTTGCAGAGACAAAGAAGGAAACAGTTATGACGTATGGCAGAGTTGGAACCCAAATCCTTTGTTCAAATGTACATGTACACCCAATCTAAAAGTCGAGTGCCAAAAAACTGAAAGTGGATGCTGGGATTCCCATGGAAACGCTTTTGTGGATGGACATGAGTGGCTTAGCAACAACATGACTAAGTGTACCTGTAGCAATGGAAAGATAACCTGTACCAAGCTCTCTCGGCCAGCCTGCACCGATGAGAAAGGCATGGTGCGGGAACATGGTACCCACTGGTTTTCCGGAGTCTGTTTCAATTGCTCATGCGTGGATGGTTTGATCAGTTGTGAAAAGTATCGCGTGACTATCAAGTATGGGTTATTCCAAGTTGAGACAGTTGGAAGATGTATGCCGTGTCATCAGCCAAGTGACGATATTTTACCAACAGGAGATGGGACAGTCGCTGCTTGCCAGGGTGGGTGTCAATAATAAATGAGGTGTCGTTGTTTAATTCTTTGCAATGATGAAATATGATTGTTTGTTATTTATCATGAAGTTACTCTCGATCTGAATCACAGGTTTATATTGATTTTTCTCTATTGCAACCCCCCCTCCCTCGTAACATAAAACAAAATCGCACCCACCTTAATCAGTTGAAGGATGTGGAGCGAAATCGCAGAGATGGTAAGAGGCGAACATGTAATGGTGAGAAATCATCAGTTATCGAATCAAATATCGAAAATGACTACTTTCCGGCCAAGTTGAGCCAAGTGTTTTTTCACACTTACCTCCCCTACCAGTAGAGAGAGCGACTCGTTTTGATCAACCAACGAATAACATTTACACAGTGCAATTTTCCATGTTAAAAGCTTCTCTTTCCAGTTTTCTTTCAGCTCAAGGCTCTAAATGAGGTATTTGGTTGTTCCAGTGGGGACTTCGTAAGGAAAGAACACGTGTGTAATGGAGTCGTCGAGTGTCCGGATGCTTCTGATGAGGCGCAGTGCCAGAATGGTGAGTTAATGAATTCGGCTTTTTCAAGTAACTGAGTTTTCACTAATCTAACCACACCCTATATCACTCCTCCCTACCTCCCCATTTCCCCCTTTCCTCTTTCCCTCCTTCCCCATCGCTCAAACGAAAAAGAGAGGAATAAAAACCATCGGAGACAAACTTAATTAAAAATAAATACTGATGATTCTGTTCCATGTTGATGTTTTAGTTATTTGTCGCGATGAGGAAGGGCAGATTCTAATTCTAAAAGATGTTTGGAAGGTAAATTTTCATACTTATGGCAAACCTTGTAAAAATTCCACCCTTAGAATAACTAAAGCATTACACTGATTTATCATTTGGAAAGCTTAGCGTTTATTTTTTTTGGAATGTCAGCTCGAATAACATTTGAAGAATTCATTGTTAACATCACTCCAGGTGTCCGACTGTCTCAGCTGCGAGTGTACAGAGGGTCGTCTGAAATGCCAGAGGACACTTCAAGTCAACTTCCCTGGCAAACACTTTGCATACGTACCTTTTACTGAGTCCTGTGAACAACCAGGGTGTAACGCTGTGGAGTTTATTAAAGCCAGGAGAGAATCTTGTGAAGGTACACGTAAGGTTAAAGAGTTAAACTTAATTTAAGCCGAGCTACCTTAGAGATCACTTTAACCAAATTAGCATACACCATCAGGATTCGCTTAATAGATCTATACTTATCAAAAAAGGCTACTAAATGTTGACCGGGGCGGAAATTGAAATCACCGCGAAAACCATCCACAACTATTTGGAAACCTTAGGAACTGGTCATTATTCATCAGCCAGAGGGAAGGGTGGGAGGTTTTAGTTGGGTAACAATAAAATTTAAAGGATTCCCCTCTAAGGCTCTGAAGTACTCCGCGATAAAAATTAATGAGGACTGATCCAAACATATATTTATTTCAAAACGTGTGGTATCAGCCAGGAAATTCAAATCGAAATTAAAAATTTTAGTATAAGAATATTTAAGGATTAGCATATATTCCCGACCAAGGAGACATCGGTCAAAATAAACAGTCTCCGATCATATTTTCAAACAACTGACATTGCTTTGTTTTGCTTGATTTTTTTTCATTACTTTATTTTTACTCGAGGAAACTGTTTAAAACCGGCCATTCTCAATTCTATTCTCTTAAAATTAACAACACAGAGCAATTAAAACTACCGTATTCTACCACTCTTTATAATTTAGCTCAACCCCGTTACCTCTGACATTGTCATTTTTTCATATCCATATAATAAATATTTCTTTACTCAGCAATTGAAACCGTCGAAGGTGGCCACATTTTGTCACGAGGAGACAACTGGGACTACCAAGGGTGTCAATTCCTCTTTGTAGGACACAAGCGGACCACAGGGTGCCCACAAATGTCTCTATCAACCTGTTATATCTACAATGGAGCAGTCTGTTGTGCTGAGAAATGCCCAGGTAAAATATCGTAGATATTGAACTGATATGCATGGCCAATTGCGAATGAGAACAACGGTTCCGTTTGGAAAGAAAACGATGTTAAGCACTTTTCATATTGAGAAGGTCATTAATAATAATAAGGAGTTATTTACAAGGCATTTGCTTTGTAATTACCTCATTTTTAAACCTAAGCGAACTTAATGGACCATAACAATAACAACAACAACAACAATAATAATAATAATAGAACATTCCACAAGGTGGCTTGTCCTCTCCACTGTTTCCAGGTCGAATTGGAATCAGGAATGTCAGTTTTTGTCGAGGGAGAAAAACCGGAAGACTTGGAGAAAACCCTTGGAGCAAGGACGGGAATCGAACCCGAGCCACAGTGGTGGGAGGCGAGCGCTCTCACCTCTGCACTATTCCCACTCCCCGCTCTCCCTTCTTTAATCCAAATGAATTAACAACAATTTTATGATCTTTTTGGAACGATTATCTGCCAGTTTTCGGAAAACGAAAACCAAAATTATGACAACAGCCAATTGGAATCAAGGTGAACATCAGCATTAGCCAATGAGAATGCAAAGTAATAATTGACAAGATGCTATAAGCGTCGTGTGATTGACACGAGTGATTGACTGTTTTGCATTTGATTTGTACATGCGGTGTGCGAGTTTTCCAGACCTATCACAAAGTGTTTAGTGTATTTAAGCAAAACCATAGCAATTACGAATTTGCATTCAGCATTTAATTGAAAAATTGCTCTCAATTTCACACTGAAGGCGCGTTTTGTAATTCATAGCACTCCCACAACTTGCAAGTCAGGTGCGCTGGGGTATGAAGGTGTGTCCTGGAGGACTTCAGTTGATAGCCAGTGATGATCAGTGTGACATTATCGACCCGAGTTGCCTGCCGGGAAACGGCTCCTGTAAAACGGGTAAGTTTGATCGATTAGAGCGACTTCTAAGAGGGTTCGATATGGCTGGTCCATCTTTAAAAAAATCTAGTCCTCATTTTCAAGCTGTTTTAATCTTCTCCATTCTCAGCAGATGTTCTTTATTTTAGGTTATTACTACTTTCTTTGTTGTTCGACTACCCTAGCAAGCGGTAGTTAAATAAAAGTTATTTTACACATAATTTGAGGTTGGTCTTTATGACGTTTGAGATCAATAAAAATACCGAGACAAAGGTCATTGACAGATCGTTGAATGCAGATTAAAAAAGGCAAGGTATATCGCCGAACAACTGCCGTTTTGACATCCAAATTTATCTTTCACTAGTTTGTATCGAACTGACTTAGGCTGTATCGAAACGACTTAGTTTCTAGGTTTTTTTAATCGTCTTTGTCTATGTTTTGAATCCATCACTATCGAATCGAATTTTATCGAAAAGACCGGACTCCTTCTCTTTTATAACCTAGTCACATTCCCTTATCGAGAATGGACGTGTAACATAAAGTTTGTGAGCTCTCTCGGAGCAAATGTCCTAATTATTAAACAAAAAAGTTTGTGCAACTTTGTAATAAAACCAATGCATAGACGTCAGCGACAGTTAAGAGAGAATAAGTTAATGAGACTGTATCCCTTTGTAGGCCCTATTTCAAACGTTATCACTCTCAAGCTATTTTTAGACTTAGGTATCTGGTCTTCCGAGACCAATGTACATTTACTTAGTGTGTTGCTTGACGTCTCAATGAAGAACGCATAGAAGCCGTGTGGGATCATGGGATGTGCACGTGAGCAGAATTAGCAACATTGAATTCACTATTTTTAGATCCGCCTGGATCTCCAAGGGAAGTGTGCCAAAAAATAGCCTTAGGGGAAGTACCGTAAGATTAAACACCACATGAAGAGAGACGGGGGAAGGTTCCTTCTCTAAACTCACTCATTTCCTGTCAAAGCAGATTTTTTCAGTCCCTATCTGCTGACGATTTGTTTCTCAGATGCCTTGTGTCAGGACGAGGATGCAAATACATATATCAATGGAAGCACCTGGTCTATTGGTGACTGCATCGACTGTTACTGTCACAATGGCGTTATCTCGTGTTCTAAAACGCTGTCAGTCATTACATCCAATGACGAAAACACTGAGCGCTGTAGTCAACCGGATTGTAACGTAGCGGCGTTTTTGAAAGCAAATAGAGGAATCTGTAAAGGCAAGTGATTGTGACGGGAAAGCCAAATACCTGCGTAAAAATGGAGAACAATGATTTTCCAAAGAGGTCTCATCCTGTAATCACAAGAGCTGCAATTATTCTAGCTAATTTTCTCTGCGAATTATCATATATTTTGTACCTAAAAGCTTGTTTACCACCACAATTCATAAGAAAATGACCACACTAAATTTAAGTTATCCATTCCCATGTAAATGACTTTTCTGCATTATGTTAGTTTGCATTTGGAGGAACCAAACCCATCTGGAAGGCTACCGCTGGACAGAGAATGGAGTTGACTTCTTTTGCAGCTCAGAAAAGCAGAGAGTGAGGCCTGGATGCTACTTGAAAGCTGGTCACGTGCAATGTACAGGGGCTTTTACAGGTTTGTTCCATGGGCCACTAACTATCGAGACATCCATCGTGTCATAGGGACTTTAAGGGACATACATTTCTTGCCCTGAAAAACATGCTCCTTCAAGCTACTTTTTTTTAATATTCCCGCTCAGATTTGTGGACGTCGAAAAATAATTATTCTGCTTTGCATTATACAAAAATCTTTTCCGATATTTTTTAGGCTGTTTGTGTTTCTACATTTTTTCAGGAATACGAAACTTATCACTCATATCTGATGAAAGACTGTACCTCTGTAAGAGCGGAGATGAGATAAGATCACTTAACGACAGATGTGATCAGAAAGCAGACTGCAGGGACAAGTCTGACGAGAGAGATTGCGTTCAGTGTAAGTGTAAATGGCAATGACTAAGACCTGGGAACTAGTCATCATTTTTCGTCTGGGGGGAGGGGTTCGGAGGATAATGGAGGATCGTATGGTTTTCTGGGGAACGGAAGGGAAGATCAGTTGCCGCCAATAGAATATTACAAATAAAAAGGGGAATTTTAGTAAAATTGACTGCCAATGAACTGCTGATGGAAGGGGATCATAAGAATATTAAAGAGCCTTCTGGGGGATCAGGTAAGTTTTACCGTGACACTACAAAATCTTCATACCCCCCTCCCCACGGCGATGAAATATGGCTGGAGTTTTGAGAGTTTCCGGAGGCTGTCACCGGAATTTGAACCGTATCATCCTGTAACGCGCAAAAAGTTTTCTTCAAAATGATGAAGACCACGAAATACTAGTTTTGCAAGACAGAAAGGCATAAAAATGAGGAGAATGAAGCGAAAAGAAACGACGAAGGTTGAGGATGGAAAGGAATGACAATAGATTGATAATGACAATACATTGCTAATAATGGACTTGAAAAACCTTCAACTGATGTCGAGCGCGCCTTTTTTTTTAGGGACTAGTCATCATTGATCACCCTGATGGGTGGGGCGGGGAGAGGGGAGATGGTAGTGTCGGATGATTTTTGTTGTGTTACGATAAAGTTGGAAAACCACTCCCCCCCGAAATCCTTCAACCCTCCTACTTTCCAGGCGAAAAATAATGACTGGTGTTTGATCTTCCTCTTATAATGGTGTTGACTAACATCCTAGTCTGCACTTTGAAGATGTTGATTACAGAAGGAAAAAAAAGCACTCATGCCTTTTCAAGAATATTTTGTGTGAAAGCTGTTGTAAAAGGAACTTCGAAACAATTATTTCAGATTTCTGTCCATTTGGCACGAAGTTCAATATGTACTGGGAAAGAACTGCCCTGAATGAGATTGTTGCAAGGAACTGTTCAGAGGTGGATCCAGAATTAGGAGGTAGGAAAATGTTTTGATACGCTTCGTCGAAAAATTGTTATTTTGTGATAGATACTCAACACAAATTTAATTCCCAAGATCTGATTGTTAATTCTCCCCTTAAGCTTCCACGCGTTACCTTGTGAATAAGCTACAAGAATTTGGTGTGAGATGAAGGCAACATCTTCTATCTGTTAAGTTTGAGTGTTCTCATTACCAGTTTTCAGGGTAGTATATATATTACAGGGAGAAGTTACATCTTAGTCACTTCTGGGATTAAAAGGGTTAAAAGGAAACGATATAACTCCTAGAAGTCAAAAGCAGTGCCCAGTTGTACGTGGAAAACAGGTTACTGTTTTAGTGCACTTCACATGACATTTTTTTTCTCCGATCAAGGAGTATGATCACTTGGGTGAGGAGAGCACGTCCTGAAAAGTCAGTAACATTGACTGAAGCTTCAACAAATTTATCGTAAAAAGGAAGTGAATTAACTTTGACTATCATTTCGTTTATAGAAATTTCAGTCATGCACCTCGGCTAGTAACAGTAAATTTCTGTTCTTTCCTCGCCAGGAGGATTACGTAAACCAATCAGTTGTTATTCCAAGGTTCAGACTGTGTTCAGTGCTTGTGTTAATTTTTCTACAATATCCTTTCATTGTGTAAACCCGATACAAAATTGAATTAGATCTGTGGAGCTTACTTCGTCAGGCATTCGCGTAGGCTTACAGCATTTGCTGTTGGTTGTACTTGTCATTCAATTAGACTTTGAATCACCATCATTAGAGTGTTAAGATAGATTTAATATTGTTTGTGCCTCAGCAACGTGCTTTTCATTTATTTATTTTTATTTGGCCACAGGAAATTTCACGAACCGTTGTTCTTCACCGTATGGTGATATGACAAAGTGGAGTTTCAAAGAAAGCTGTTTTTGCGAAAAAAAATCTCTCCGTCAAGAATTCAGGCATAAAGTATGTAGTAGCTTGATTCCGATGTATTCTAATCCGCGGTTGTTTGAAACGCGATACATGACTCAATTGGAATAGCAAATAAATAAATCAAGCTTTTGATTTATTTTCAAATTTTTTCGTTTTTGCATGTAGTAAGGGGGGACGGTAAGTTTCTAAAGAAATGATAAGGAATATAACAACTAAGATGATTTGGTTTTATTAATTGAGTTGCTTACATAAATCGGCCACCATCAATGGTTTGTAGAATTTGTCATTCGCCCTGACGAAGGGTTAAAGTGCAAAACATCAGATTTAGAACTCTTTACAGTGGCCAAGAATCAAATGCCGTAATTGAAATAGTTTGTTTTTCATCGTGTTTGTCTTAAAGTTCATTGGGTAAACAACTGAGTTTACTGGAACTAATATAAGGCTTCTCTCCATTCATTTTCAGCTATCCATAGTGAATCTAACAAACATTTTGGAACTAACAAGAGCATTTGTGAACAAGGCCACTAACTTTACAAACAAAGAACTGTTCTTTAATTATCTGAGCCTTTGGTTTAAAAGTGGAGCTCTCCTACTAAATCCAGTCAACCATTCCAACGATATGGTGGCGCTCAATTTCTCACAGGTACGAATTTTAGCCTTTAGGACCATATGACAGACTTTACATTCTTTGTCAGTTTGAAATTACATATGCGCTTTACTACTCTTTTAACAAAGGACATAGGAATTTTTTTAAAAAAAATTATGGGTACTTTTTTTTTTTTAATAAATCAAATAAAGGTCTTCCTAGAGGCTTGATTTATCTACACGAGTTATCAAAGAAATAAATAAACCTCTTATGGACCAGTCGCGTTTAATCACCTTGGGGCGGGGGGTCGGAAGAGTTTGGGAATTTAATTCTTTTCAGGGGGAACGGGGAGGGGGAGAAATTAGTCGTCGCTAACAGAGTATGTTAGGGAGGACCATAAAAGATTGACTGCCAGTGAGAGAGGGGGTGGGGTCATTAGCAATACTACAGAGCCTGGGAATCATCTCGTGACATAAAATCCTGTCCCACCCCGGCGATAACTAATGACCGCTCCCTTACTGGATTTCAAAATGCAGATCCAGAGGGTAGCCTTTTTTAATGATTGTCTGGGGGTTCATTTTCAAACTGACCTTTCATAGGACTGCGAATTATGAGCTTTTCATATATATATTTTCTTTCTCTTAAGGCCATATTCCAAACAACTCGAACCGAAAACGTTTTCAAGCCTCACTCAGACTCCTTTTGTCCTAAAGAAGTGGTAAGCATGCATGAAACATACTGTAGAAAAAGAAAACGCAAAGCTAAAACATGCATGCGAATAAACAAGTAACATAATTAACAACCAGATAAGACTTCTGATTTGAAAGTAATATTCCATCTAAAGGCCTTATTCATAATTTTTGTAACAAAATTAACCAACTTTATCATATCTATAAGTCAGTGCGTGCGCTATGATTGGGTGATTTAACGGGTCGTGTTTCACTGCACAGCCCTTTTAATTCAAAAGTTTGTTTAAATTGAAATCTTGGACCTCTACTTGAACTCAGAGATAGTATAGAAATCTTGGCTAACCTCGTTTTCTCGGTCTGCACTGCAAGTTACGGAACCTCGTTCTTCCGCTCGGATTTATAAATAGGAGCGGGAAAAAAACTCTGTCTGTAACTTATACTACCGACCTCGAACTCGGTTAGGATGATGAGGTAAGTGTGGCACACACCTTTAAAGGTGCTACGCTACAAGGGTTTTTTTACCGACGTAGACGAGCACCAAAGCTAGATGGCTTTAACCAATTCGACTTAATCGCCAAAGACGAAAATTCACATGATGACAAATGTGATAATGATAATGAAGATAAACAAATCAATTTCCTTTGTTCCGGATTATGAGAATAAAAGCAGGACAAATGGGAGTGGGAATGAATAATGAAATGGGAATAAGGAAATAGGAATTTAGCAATGGACATTCCACTGGATGGCTCTTCTTGTCTACTGTTTTGAAATGTTGCTTTTTTGAAGCCAGGAAAACTGGAGGAAAACCCTCGGAGCAAGGACGAGAACCGACCATGTTTAACTCAACCCACATGTGAAGCCAGAATCGAACCCATATATGGGTGGGCGGGGAGCGCTCTCATCACTGCACCATCCCTGTTTCTTCAAACTGGAGTGGAAAAATTTCTAGCTATTCAAAAAATTGTACCGAAACTTTGTCATGAACGTGGATTTCTATGGATGGCGAACTTGTTTAAGTCACTAAATTGTTACCGTCTTTGTTGTTTTCGCAGACGTACTCGCAGCGCTGGTCATTAATACAAGATATCAAGGAGTTTGTTTGCGGGGCCTCAAATCTGACGCATACCTTCCGGTTTTGTTTCACTCTAAGATCGTTGAAATAGTAAGTAAAGCAAAGAAATTCTAGTTTAAACTAGACTGAAAATGCGCGAAGCAATGATCCTAGCAGGTGTACGGCAATTACGGTAGATTTCGATGAAAATAACCCATTCTGTTGTGACAGAGCAATTAGCAATCGCACGTCATCCGCAATTTAACTATTCCTTCTTACTTTGCCTTGATTGGTTTCGGAAACCCGGGCCAAACTCTTAACCAATCAGAATCACCATTAAAACCAATCGTAACAAATCACTCGCGTTTTCCCGCGCTCCAGACAGCTTGAATTCTCATTGGCTCCCTGTAATATTTTCCTCTACCCTTTTTGGCTGTTAGTATCTAGTTTTTATTTTACGATACCCATGGAAATGCTCTTACGGTTTTGAGAACATTAATTGTAAAGAATGGACTCATTCCTTATTCATTGCTGTTTTTCATGGAATCTGTTCTCGCATACTTCTGTATATCCTATAGTGAAATTCCTCCTACATTCTCCGGAGATAGCAACAAAAGCCCAGATTCTCCTGGTGTAACTAACTTTTGGATGCGACCGGTTCTTAATCTGAGGATTGATCCAAACCAGCTGTCCTCAGGAAGTGATACTGTCAGCTCCCTTTCACTTCCTCCGGGAAACATCACTGGCGAGGCAAGTAATACACCAAAGAAAAGAGGCCCCCGCGAATTCTAACGTACGAGGGAAACTGATAGTGTCTGAAAAAATCCTTTTAAGGGAAATGACCTCAAGGTCACATTTCAGTTGGGATCTTTTTGTTAATTCTCTCAATCCCAGGGGTATCGACCAAAAAGAAAGTTTTCACTTCAATATGCCCCTATTTTTAATAATAATAATATATGTACTGATAGGAACCATGGGATATCATTTGATCAGTTTCATACTCAATTCTAAAGCTTATCGAACCCACTCTAATTTTCTCAAAATGATCTTTTTTTCGAGAGCACATCCATCCTATAAAGCGACATTTTAGGAGGAAAGCTTTGATTCAAAGAGCACCTCCTGTTTTTTCTCTCACTAGATGAATTTCAGTCGCGTCCTTGTTCCTCTTCAACGTTTCAACTGTGCTTGGATTGAATATGATGTAAGTCAAATAACTTGAATTATAAATAGTAAAGAGTTAGATCGTTGGTGCTGAGGGGGGGAGGGGTAGTATACGACTTTCATTCTTTTATGCAGCAAATTAGTGGCCAGTTGTCAATGTTACAGAAACTTTCGTTGGTTAAATCAGTCAATTTTCTTTTTCAGGTAAATGGAACGTTAAAAATCACAGCCAGGGAAGTTAGAGATGAGGAAAAAGAGAGGAAAGCTATGGCTAAAACTCACCTGGATCTTGTTCTCAGCAGCATTTCTACAGTGGTTGTTATAATTTGCTTAATACTGCTTTCCTGCCTAAGGTGCTCAGTCAGTTTGATACTCAGAAGTGTGACTAATGTGCCCATCAATTCGAAGTTTCAGCATCCCCCGGGCACCTTACTGGCATTTGAATGTCGTCTGTGGCCGGGGGAGGGGAATTTGAACCTTGCTTGGGATGGGGTGGGGCATTTGAACGACAAGTATCAAGTCTTATTAACGTAACACACGTTTTTCAAAGGAGGAGTTTAAAGGTAAAGAGTCTGCTTTCGTGAGCTTTTTCGAGCGCAAGTTTGGCTCGGGGGGAGGGGGATTTGAAGACGCTAATCTTCAAAAGTTCAAATGCCCGGGGGGATATTGAAGCTTCGAATTGATCAATGCATAACACAGTAGTCGGACTGCCTGACTGACGACTTACTGGTGGACTGCCTTACTGGCGGACTGACTGTCCGGACTGACGATTGACGGGCTGAATGACTCAGCTATCAACTATCTGATTAACTAATTGACTGACCGGCTGGCTGGCCGTCTGACTGATTGACCAACTGTCGGACCTACCGACTGACTGACTGACCAACTGACTGACTGACTGATTGACTGACTGCCGTCTGACTGGCAGACCGGCTGACTGACTAACTTACCGACTAAAGGACTAACTTGTTCGCTTACTGCCGTACGTACAAACGTGGACTGACCTCCGACTGATAGACCAGTAGTTAGTATTTATATATATATATATATACCTGACTTTAGTCTGCAACTGAATTACTAACACAAACATGAATTGAAGATGAAGTACCGACTATAAAGCTAACAGAGTGACCTCTTTTCTAACACAGGATAAGAAACTCCGAGAGAATATTTGTTCATAAAAACCTTTTAATATCCATATGCCTGGTTTACATCGTGATGATCTTGGACTCGTGTATTTTTACAAACAGGAAGCAGACACCGGTGAGTTTTACTGATCCTGATTCTTATTAGTTCTGATAACACATAAAAAAATCCCGGTATAAGAAATGTACGTAATGGCACGAGCAGGGTCGGGAAAAGTCGCACAGCCCAGCGTATGTCCCCGCGAGATGTGAGGATGAAAATATGTAAGAAGAAAGGAAGAACGAGAAAGACGGCAGTCTTGCGCTTAAATGTGTATCGACTGGCAAGGTCGGGTCAGACGGGAAAATATTTGGCTCTGCGGGTCATGCCGTGTGGACCAAGCGCAGCGAAGTCCGTAAGTTGTCACCATGAGCCAAATATTTCCCGTCCGGCCCTCCCGCTCAGATAATAAGAACACACTGTTTCCTTAATAGCTTGTAGCAAATCTTGCAGGAGCCCATACTCCTTGATTTATTTGAATTTTTTTCAGCTTGAAAAACCAGAGTAACATGGCTGTTTGATTTTAAGTACCTAGACATTTCTTTCTTTTTTTTTTCTTTATGATATCGTAGAAATTATGTTCAGCTATGGCTGTCCTCCAACATATAACACACACCGCTATTTTCACGTGGATGTTGGTTGAAGGAATTCATCTTTACATCAAGCTGGTGAAAGTGTTTTCAGTCCACAAGCTCTACATCACATACATTGTCATCGGGTGGGGTAAGGCTCTGTTTACAGCTTTTATCATCTCTCTCATTCAGTACATGCACTATGATTGGTCAGCCCAACGGACCCGAGCGGTCCATCAATCACTGTACCGCCCTCTAAACTCAAAATGTTGTTTGAATTTAAATCTTCCCCCTCTTTTTAAACCCAGAGTTTTAGTAACTATCTTACTAACCTCGTTTTCTCGGTCTGTCCCGTAAGTGATGGAACCCGTTTCATTTTTTTCGCTCCAATCTATAGCCCGTTTTTTTAGCGCTTGGGCCAAAAGTCCGAGCGGAAAAAACTCGGTTCGTAACTTACAGTAAAGACCGTGAGAACGAGGCTACTGAGAGGAATGTAACTTAGATGCTATACCTCAGTCTTACCTTATATAATGTAGTGTGTGGTGTTATCATGGCTTTTCTCTTTCTATGGTGTTTGACGCGACATTAAGTGCGGTGTGTCCACATATAGTAGTTCTGCAACATTACTGCCGTTAGACTTGACATTGGGATCATAACCGGAAGGAAACTTTTGTTTACAATCAGATTAACCCATAACCGGGGGTACTTTGATCTGGGATTTCATAGTATACCAACCTCCTTTGACCACAGGTCTACCAGTTGTTATTGTGGGTCTAATAGCAGCCATCAGACCTGTGACATATGATATGAGCAAGACATACTACAAGGACGTCATGTGTGGATCACTGAAACTTTCAGCGGAGATTATACGTGACAGGTTGGTATAACTCTACAACTTCCTCGATTAGGACCATTAACTCTTTCTTTTAACTGTCACACTTTTTCTTTTAAAAGGTCCATGTGTTTGATTTATAATGTTTTGAATGTCTGTTTCTTTAATTTTTTCGGATTGTAAAGGTTTGGTTCACAAACTCCTCTATATCAATTTTTCTATTACTGTTTTTCCTTTTCTTGCAACAAAACGGAAAGTTCCAAGTAAATAAGTTAAATGCATTGATCTGCTTTCCTTTTTCCTTACTTAGTCATGTTGGAATATTGTAATCTTTTCAAGGTGCTGGCTTAATGACGGTGAATGGCTGTATAAAGGACCAATCTTGGCAATTCTCGTGGTAAGCTCAAATTTCTTTCCCAAATCAACTTTGAAGTCATTGCTTGTGTGTCTTTTGAAAAGTCCAGCTTTTTTCTTCGACTATTGATTATTTATCACCGGGGTGGGAGAGGGGTGGAGAATTTTAGGGGATCTCATAACTTTCCGGGGTAACGGGGAGGACTAAGTCGTCGCCAACAGAAGAGGAATCATGAGAATATTACAGAGCCTGGGGGTCAGGTAAATTTATCATTACACAAACAAAATCCTCCGGACCCCCTCCCCCCTTCCTTACCCCCCATCGGCGATAAATAATGATCATGAACACCTTTATGTCTGTTTCTTTTGCGTTCTCGTTTAGCTCTTTTGATACTTTCCTTTGTTCTGCTGCGCCGTTTCGACTTAAGTGGCTGGGTTTTTTTTTTAAGACTTTCAATCCAAAAGTATTCTAACATCGAGCTTTTTCTGTTCTTCAAACGACCAATCAGAATTTTTTTTCAAAGTCAAACATTTTCAATTTTTCATTTCCAGGTCAATCTTGTGATATTTGTAATTCTGCTGAGAGTGATATTCACCAAGATATCGAAAAAATATCAGACTGATAATGTAGAGAAGACCAGGTAAGTTTCTTCTTTTGTTTTCTCGTTCCTGTTTCCTTTTTTTTTTCAATTTGCTAACGATCGATTAAAAAAGTCAGATTTGTATTGTATATGTGATTTTTTTAATTAACACTGCCTTTTAACCAGATGCATTTAACCAAGGTATTCGCGAAGGACCTATAGAAAGTGGCAAATATGTTTTTTCCCGGTCGAAGTATTTGGGAAAAATCTGTGGACACGAACCTGGGACATACACTGAAGTCCTGCGGAGCCTCTCAGATTTGTAACCTGCAATGGACTGTGATGTGTGATTCTTTTAATTAATAAGCTCTTTTAACCAGATGCTATTAATCCTCCGTTCCCGTTCCCCCAGTGATCGATCCCTTAAATTTTTCTTTAATCTTACAGAAAAGGATTGAGGAGCATCGCAGCTCTACTGCCTCTGTTGGGTGTCACGTGGCTGCTGGGGTTTTTTATCCACTGGAGTGAAGTCCTTGCGTATTTGTTCATCATACTCAACTCGTCCCAGGTACCGTCACGGTGCTATGTGCTCTACAGTTGCTGCTATCGATCATGTTTGCCTCACTCGTGTTTCTTTTGATTCTTATAGGGTTTGGTGTTTTGTATCTTCCATGGTGTTTTGGATGACCAGGTATTTTCCAACTTAGCTTGTGCAGCTTTGGTGTAAGTTTGATGCAGAATATCGTATTCCATGTGGCGATCCTCTGAATTGATGGCTTATGCGGTAAAACCGCTGCACTCAGAATTTTAATTGGAATCGTTTATTTTCTATGCTTGTTTATTGCAGTGTCTCTTTATTTGTTACAATAGGTGAGAGAGAGTTTGCTCAGATCCATTAGAAGGACACGATTAGGAATGATGACCCAAATTGGGAGATCATCTATTGTATCAACAACTACTCAGTTGTCACCTGCAGGTATTAGTTCTTATTAGTTCATTCTTGCTTTACACTGTCTTGTACCGTGCAGAAGCGTTTGTTGCCATATACGTTTAGTTCGTAGAATGTGCGTCCTCACGAGACTGATCTAGCAGTGAAGTGCTGAAATAAGTTTTCCACGGGCGGGATTTTTCACTGAGCCTATCTTTCCTTCTCTCTTTTCTTTTCACTTTTTCCCCTTTTTCTCTATCCTTTCTTATTCCTTTCCTTTTCCCTCTTTCCCTTTCTCCTCCTTTCTCTGGCTGCCGTTTTTTATCTCATTCGGATCCACCTTATTCTTTATTTTTTTTTACACTTACATAGGGACCGGTCATTATTTATCGTCGGGGGGAAGGCGCTGGAGAATTTTGTTTGTGTCACGATAAAATATACCTGATCCTACATAGGTCTCTGTAATATTCTTAAGAGACCCACCCACCCCACCCCCGTCCTCATTAGCAATTAATTGGCAGTCAATTTTCTATAGCCTTCTTTATACTCTGTTGGTGACGACCGATATCCCCCTCCGTACCCCCTGAAAACCATATGTTCCCTCCAAAACCTCCCCATACCCCACCCCCCAAGCGGTGAATAATGACTGACCTTATAATTATCACATATTGTAATTATTTATAGACTTGTGATCTTTCCTCTTTTCCGATTACTAAATTGAAAAGAATTTCCATTAACAAGTGTTCCCTATACAAATGTATGTGGAATTTGGGCCTGGGTGCCGGTGGAGAAATTACGAATATCAGATCTTTCAGCAATCATTTTATCAGTTCTTCTTTTCTATGTTCAACTTTCAGGTTCGATAAATGACCGAGCGAACATGGGGCAACGCCCAGGGATTGCTGGAATGAAGCATTTAGATACTAAGCTTTAATGGTGTCTCTTGATAAAAAAAAAAAAGCTCCTACTAGCTTCGTAATAGCTAATTCAGTTTTTTAACCTATTTGCAAGCCTTGATATGAAGCTACTGGCTGCAGTGAACAAAGACAAGTTTTTTTCCGTACTAATGCTGTTTAAGGAGGTCAGTTGTGTAGAGAGAACACGCCTCAGGCAAGCACACTAAATTTAGTCAGTGATACTTAAAGAATGTTTAAAAATGGCAAAGTGGGACATGAACTATTCCATAAGGAAATAAAAAACTTATCAGTAAAAGCTTATTGATGTAGGAAAATGAACAAGAATTATTGTAATTATTAGAATCTTTTAGCTACTAACAGAGTCCATCCACTGTACATACAGTGTTAAATATTCCGTTCAACTGCTTTCATTAAAGATAAAGTTTTGCCTCCAGCTGTTCACTTGAAAATTCTCAAGTTGATTCTCTCACCACGCCATTGGGAAAGGTTACAGATTACCATGCATGAACAGCCAGTCTTTAGAGAGCCTTGGTGATTCATCCGAATTTGCAGTGTTTTCACCGGTTAAATATTCGCGTATTTTGTGCTAACAAATTTGCCTTTGGCAGGATTATTCGAGAACTGTTGAAAGCAAACGATTTCAAGAACGAGACATGACTTTGCACCCCCCCTTCCGCTCTGCCGTCTCCGCCTACCTAATATATCCCCTTATCCGCTACTTCTCGGGAATTCAGCAGCATTACTGATTACAAAACCGCAGGGGACTTCGTCCAGGCGCGTCAGGGAAGTCTCGAACCGGTGATTGCGCGCTCTTGTGCGCTGTCTTAGATACTTCTCCAGTTGTGTATAACCCGCAGAGGTTAGTGCACGAGGTAAATAATTTATGGCGGAGCTCGCAGCGTGCGCAGCGTAGTAATAGCAGTAACCTTAAAACCGAAAAAATTTGAACTTACGACCGTACGTACAAGGAGCTACTTTTAGCATGCGCGGCCAACTGCGTTGCGGGGACCGTTGCGGGCACTATCTTAGCAATTACGTAATAGAAGGGTGAAGGAGAAGTTAATGCGCAGGCGCGAATGCGTGCGTAACTACCGGCAGATCACAATGAAGTGCGTATGCTCTAGTGCCGCGCCTTAGTGCAGCGTACTGCGGGCACACGGTTAGGCATTACACGAGGGTTTCACGTGGGCTAGGAGATGTGAACCGCGTGAGCAAATAATTTGCCACCCGCGTTTTGAGCGGGAAATCAAACTGGTGAGGTTGTAGTTTGAACAGTAATTCTCAGTATTTTAAAATTTTTTAATCTACTCGCCATGCAACGATACCGGCAGAGCTAAAAGCTTTGTCAAGCGGAGGAAATTGTTATAATTCAAGTTCGTGGAGAAAGGGTTTTGAGTGAAATAGGCTGGAAAGAAGGAGACAACAATCAAAGAAGGCAAAAGGTAAAAGGCGTAAAGCGAGTCGAGAAAAACGCACAAGAAAGTTAGAGAGGACGCTAAAATAGGCAGAATACGGCGTGAGGAACGCGGAAGAGAACAAGAAAAGGCATAAGTAAAGAGGTGAATATCTAGCGAGAAGCCACGTGAGAATGAAATACGAAGAGATTCAGAAAACAAACTGAAAGGGGTCATCAACAAAGGGAAGCGAACCACAAAGGATCCGCGAAAGAAGAGGAGGTAAGCTAAGTCGTGTCTTATCTGGGTTTCCTCTTACGCTAAGGCCCAGAAAAATTCAAACCTTTTTTCCCCATTCTTCGTTTGATACCAGCCTCAGTTTATAATTCAAATCACGTTTCAGTAATACAATGACTTTTGCACTCATCGTTTTAAAACCGTCGCGCCGGTTCATCGCTCGAATAACATTTCAAAGTGTTCGTATTCTTTAAGTTATATCTTGTCCTATCTTTTGGAATTTTTCATACAGTCGTGGTGTTACGGGAAATGAAGTTATCTTACGGATTATGTTTTGCCTAGAAGGTTTTTAAATGATAGCGAACGGCGTTAGCAAGTTTATATCATTCTCTCTTCAGTTAGCTGTCGCAGGGTTTACATTATTCATTTAAAAAAATCGCGCTTTGTCGAAGATTTGTTGTTTCATCCAAAGAAAGAAGTAATAGCCTTTTCCAAAATTGAAATGTAATGAGGTAGAGTCACCGATGTTCATGTTTACATCAAGTCTGACGCGGTAATTTGATTTTGATAATATTGTCATGTGAGAACCCGTCAAACATCTGAGAATTAAATTACCGAGCACAAATGCGTGATGCAAACTACTCATGGATGAAATGATGATGATCCTACTGAGGGAGGAGTGAATTTCATTGTTTGGTCATGGTACTTTTCAGCGCTATCTTTTCATGCTTTCTACTCGATTCGTTCGAACTTCAAGAAATGGTTTGTCTCTCAAAACATGGAGCCTCTTTCTCTTCGCTCAACATCTCGAGGCGTACTTAATGCTCGGGTTATGATCAACATGCTAGCGATACGATAATTTTTTCCTAATGCTGGAAACTGAGGAATCAATCTTGCAAGACGCGTCCGAGCTGTGATCGTGTAATTAAACGGGGTCCTGGCAATTTGAGCACACAAGCACGCTGGTAAGCACATGGTTAGTGTAATTAATTGTTGTTTACAGTTTTCGAATTCAAGAGCAGTTTTTGAGAGTCCGTTTCTGGAACCTTCCTAGATATTTCTGTTAAATTCATTTGGGTACAATCTCGGAATTTCATCGGTAATTAAGAACGTTTAATTTAAGTTTTGTTGACACATTATCAGTTTACAATTCGTGAACTATTACTGTAACCCGCTTGGATATTTTCTTTTGAATTTACTTAGTCAGACTCTCGGAATTTCATCAGTAATTAAGAGCGATGAATCCGTATATGTAGCACAAGTGAAGCACATTTTAAACTTTCCATACGATTTTAGGAAACTATACTTAATTGACTCTCGATAAATTAGCCTAGCATAATTTGTTGATTGTTTTATTATTTTGTAGCCCCAAAAGCCCGGCTTATGACTCTGGAAGTACTGAACTTGATTTATTTGATATACTAGGCACCCTTCAAGGAGGAGGGTTCGAATAAAACTGCTTTTTCGGCCGTATGTAGCACCCGGTCTACATATGTAGATAATTGATTAAAAAATTACTATTATAGCTGTATTAAAAAACATAGACATATAGGTAGTGTGCTTCTGCTTTATTTTATAGAAGGAGGTGTGTTTTTATGTGACATATATCCATTCTTTTAATTTCCTATTTAACCTGCCTAAAAATAATCAAACTTTATGTTTTAATTCAAGGGTGAGAAGATAAACTGACAGAAGTGTTGCAGAGCTCCTTTTTCAGACTGAATGCAGGTGAGAACATCAGTATATTAATTTTATAGCCCTGGGCCCAGTTGTTCAAAGGCCGATTAGTGCTAGCCTTGGGTTAAATTTTGATGCAGGTTTTTATATTTATTTTTTCCAAAGCCTTTTAGAGAAAATTTTCCCTATTCTTTTTAGAACATTCAATGATCAAATTGCAAGCAAAAAGATTTGAACTGAATTTTCTTTTAAGCTTTCAGACCTGAAATAAAATTCCATGCTAACCCTGGGTTATCTCAACCCAGATTTGAACAACCCGGGCCTGGTTTTTTCACAAAGCCTTTTTCAAATCTCTGTGCGCTAGCTAATGATTAAAACCTCAGTGAAAAGATGTGCCACGTTTTAGTAGTTTTTAAAATCCATCTTTAAGTGCTTGGTATTTACTGTTCTTAAATTCATGTGTCATTTCCTTTTCATCCTTGTAAAGAGATATTAAGCATTTCTTTTAACTAAAATCTGAATCGCGAAGTCAACTTTATTTCAATGAGATTGAAACTTCATTCTACATAAGAACACTTTACTGGAGTATAATGACATGTTTACTCTTTGTCTCTCTGGTACATATAATTACCATATGTGTCTTAACCCTTAACCCATATGTGTCTTAATCCCTTAACCCTTAACCCCAAGATTTCATTAGTAATTCCCCCTACTTTCTGTCATACACTTAATGTGAAGTTAGTTTGGAGAATTTGGACTTGGATCAACCAATAATACCCTAATTGATATTTTTCTTTATTCTCATTACTTGTCTGCTTGATATCATATTGATAGTGTAAGGAGAATTTCTGTTTAGGTCACTGAAGGGACTTAAAGGGTTAAAATGGGGATTTTACTATATTTTAATGATTGAAATATTCTGATGGTTTCAAATGTAACAAAAAATGCGACGAGAATCTAATTTTATGAAACACTTACGATGGAAAAACCTATTGCTGGAAGCTTATGTCTTTAATGTTTAAATTTTCTTTGAAAGCAGAGATACAGAAGTTTTCAAAGCTGATAGAGGTAAGCTGTTTGCAACTAATGAAAAGCAAATTGACAATCATACTTTAATGCTTGACATGTTTCAATCTTACATGTTAGTTGTGTGTACTTACTATTGTAGAGGTGTCTTTAAAAATGTTTTTCAGTGTGGCTGCTGCTCTTTGTTGATCTTTGTAGCCAAAAAAGCTACTAGAGGCACTGATCTTCAATTTTTTTTGTACACAAGGCACCCTCCAAGGTGGAAGAGTAGAAGACTATAGAAAGATGTCTATTAGGCACTTGCACTTACTGCAATTATGTATTCAAGCAATACTCCACATATACGGATTACACGATGTTTTTAACCCTTTACACCCTAACACTCCAACACCCTAACATCAGCATGCATATTCTCCATACTGTTCTCTATACATTTCCTAATGTGCTGGCAAGGAGAATTTGTCTAACAATCAAGAGGTTCTTTAGTTGATTATCATTTCTTTTACGCTCATAACCTTAATGTTTGATTCAGGGGTGATATTGAAAGCTCCTGAGATGCTAGTCACTCTGAAGGATTAAAGGGTTAAAAACTGTACACATTTTATGAGCACCTTGCATTTGTTGGCAACAATAGTTAAGATTGTTAGGAAAGCAAATAAACAAATGAACAGAAGACAGTGAAATGAGGGAAACCGTACGTAAACCTCACCATATGATAGACAAAACATCACTGAATACTTAAGAAGGGAAACTTGAATTGTGCCAGTTAATTTCCTCCCCTAATTGTTATTATAGTTTCACAGATGTTAATCGGTTGCCATCCCAATTAACCCTTTAACTCCCAGATCAAAATATGTAATTCTCCTTACTGTCAACCATACAATTCTTATAATGTTAGTTCAGAGAATTTGGTATTGGATCAACTAATTATCCCCAAATTGATATTTTTCTCTATTCTCATTACTTATCTAATTGACATTGTATTTGTATTGTAGGGAGAAATTCTGTCTTTATCACTCATGGGAGTTGAAGAGCTTAGCTTACTTATAAAAATATTTAAGTTTATAAACTCGTCTTTTCTTGCAGAATTTTTGAGAC